AAAGAGTTACATGTTATAGGAACCATGAGACATGTAATTTTTTTCAACGTAATTCGTTTTTTTTTTTAATTACATTTATAACGACAATCTATGTTAAGTGTGAACCCACGGTTAACAGCAGACCTTGTTGTGATAGCCAATTGTAAGCAAGGAGTTAAACGATTGGTTGCACCTGTGTTGTCGCCCCTGTCAATTGCGATATTTACTGACAGCGATTTATTTGGAGGTTATGGTTATCTAGGACAAATATTACTCATGTTTTAAATGGAATAAACGCTTTTATGCGCGGTACAGTTGCTTATATTAATTTGCTTGAGAAATAAAATATCTATTTACCATAATATTGTAAAGTAATTAGAGTTGGAGGCTATTTAACTAAATAAAACATCTTTATTCGACCTTCCAAAAATGAAAGTTTGTAATGACAGCATACCACCGCTAGATGGTGTTGAGTTGCGTAACCGAACCCCATCAATTCTCGGCATTACCATATCACTTGCTCTCTTTGACAAATGATCTCACATCTAACACGCCTTGAGGTCTGCGAATGTAATTGGATTGAGAATAGAGATGTGAATCGATATTTATCGAGCGATTAGTGATGTACACATAAACTATCGATAATTATTTATTAGAATATTGATTAATTATTACAATTACATAAAACATCAAAATAAGACACTTTGCTTTTTTAATGTGGTATAACTTTAAACTGTGTGATTTTCATAGATTGAAGTTAAGGTAACAATTAATTATCTTTATTTATAGTATTAAAAAATTTATTATATGATAGTTTTTAATATAATTCTAAGAAACAAAGCTTCTTGGAACAATAAACAATTGTTACATTTTAAATGTTCTTGTCGACAAAAATATATAAACTCACATGCCTAAACTGAGACTAGACTTATTATAACTGAATAGCATTGTACATTGCTGCTCCGACTACTGGTTGTTTTATTTGTACCTTCAGTTCCGTTACAATAAAACGCAATGTACTTCAAACGTTCATGTATTATTAATGAGGTTTGAGTCCCGCCTTCAGATGAAGGCAAAATTAAATGACCTTTGCGATATAAATTGTGATCTAGTCAGATACCACTATGATATTAATGACAATACATGACGTTAAACTTTTAGTGATTAATTGTATTGTATTTAATTATATTCTTTCTCAGACTATTGTAATCGATATTATAAATTTCGTTATAAAGTTCATACCAATTTAAATCTTAAAGTTTGTTAATAAAAGTTACTCAAAGATTTATAGTAAATCTCCTGAAATTCTTTAAAAATAAAGAAGCATTGAAATAAATAATGCGAGGTAGTTCTTAGATAGACTTATACATAATCTATCTTACTAGTATTATTAAATTAATAAGGTATCTATAGAACGTCTCGACGTGTCTCGATTAAATTTGGCACACATGTAGAACATAGCCTGGAAGAACATAGGTTATTTGCTGGTTTATCTTAAGTAGGCGCGGATGGAGTCACGTGGAAAAAATAGTAATGTATGAAAAACTTACAAAGATATACACTAATATTAATAAACTATTTGTCAGCAAATAGACGGACATGTTTACAGCTTCGTAAGAATTATATTTTTATTAATATAATGACAATGATGCGTTATGTGTCACATTCGTCACGTCGCAATCTAACATCTCCGACAGCGCGTCCGAGATCCGACAACTGTTATAACTTCAGCACGAACTACAGTAGAGCGTGAAGTCTCGCAATTTAATCTATCATAGACTTTAGGATGTACACACACTTTAAAGATGCACAAGTTATAAGCTTGCTAAGGTTCCACTTCTTATAAAGTTATTGTGAAATCACAGGCTAAATTTAAAGGTTTTATAGAATTTGAAAATCGAATACGCATGTAACATTTAGCTTCTAAAATGTACCGGCATTAGAATAGTAGGACGTAGGACCGCTGCCCATCTTAAAGAGGCAACACAACCGCCTTTTGCATTTATGACTTTTTCCGTATGTTTTTTATTGCAGTACCATTATAAAGATAATTTACCTGTAACATAGGCTATGTTTATATCACGCGGACGAATTCGCGAAGAACAGCTAGTCTTTGATAAACTGTAGTCACCTACAGTGTGCACCTACCCTTAGCGGTGTAAGCTGATCGTCTAGTCACGAGTGTCACATTAGGCACAATCTGGAGGTGACAGGAGACAGGTTCAGCTGCAGCGAGGCCGCTAGCGAGGTGGTCTAGTGCGTGACTAGACACGCAAACCTTAGGGATTATAGAACTGACGAACTTATAACGACGTTTTATATAACTGTTATGTTCAACTGCATTAAAGTAGTTATTCTTAAGACAGACAAAAGTTAAATAAAACGTCATCTACTCGATGTTTTTGTTGTTGGCCGACTGTTACCAATTAAAGGATTTCAGCTTTTACTTTTGAAGCGTTACCATTCAAAACACTATGTAAAAGTAATTCGTCTCAAAGATTTATCATGATAGATGGATCGATGTTTGTTACTAAGTATCTTCAAAACGGCTTAACAGATCTTTATTAAATTTGGCATAGATGTAAAGGATAGAAGAAGAATTGGAAGAATACGCGGACAGATTCGTCTTTGACAGCTTGTAATATTTAAGAGCGAGCGCACACCTTTGACTAAACTATCGCATTGTTGCCCGATAGTCGGTTGTTTCGAAGCCAATTCAACTGTTTTGCATAACTAAATATCGAGTATTGTAACCTCCATATAAGCTCATAGGAATGAAAGCGAGACTAAACAGTTGTGCGGTAGTTTAGGCAAAGGTGTGGGGACGCTCTTAAGTGAATATAACAACGGATTATTATAGTAAGTGCTCTAATTCCTTAATGCATACAAATATCGCTGACATTTAATAACTAGATTACATCTGGAGCGTGGGCGTCAACTTGTGAATATCTAATGATACAAGCATTCGACGCGTTACATATGTGAGTGAGCAGATAGCGGAGCCCGGGGCTGTTCTCGATGTGAAGGTGACTGCAATAAACGACCTAGCTTTTGTATAGAATCTATACATTTAAATTTAGTTACATTTGGTATCAGTGTAATAGGAATTATTTAATGTTTAGATTTATCAGAGCTTAACAAATAAGTTGTATCGATCGAATTGGTTTGTTCACACATTGGTTATAACACCGATCTGCTTCTGTTTATTCTTAATATATGTGTATTTTACTAACACATTACTTCCATTCCAAGTGTTGTAATAAAACTGGCTTTAAAAAGACATCAACAGATTGTAAGCCGCAAACTTCCGTTTACTTTTACGTTTCAGCGAACACGATCGTAGCCACTGACGCGGGCGCCGCGACTGACCTGCCACCTGTCACCTGTCACCTGTCACCTGCTACTTGTTGACTGTTGACGTGACAGGTGACAGCGCAAGTAGTACGGGCGCCATATTAACACTCGAACTCATTAAAACACACCTTATCCATGATCGCATCTACTTGAGAAGCTTTCACTGATTTCAGTTCTATGCATTTAATTTTGGCTAGTTTTTAGTGTTACTTAATTGGTGTAAAACTTCAATAAACTTAACATGAGTTATTTTTCTGCAATGTAGCGTTTTCTATACAAAATCAGAATTAAAGCAATTTCATTCGCATAGTGTCATCTACCGACGAGAAGATAAAATTGTCAGTCTTGAGTGAATTGAAAATTGCATTCAAATCCACTACTAATGACATCTACCGAGGAGAGGACACAACTACACCAAATCAATCTAAAAATACAACAACGCCATCTATTGTCGAAAAGATAATACTATAGTTATATTAGAGTACCTGTTGCTCGCGACTTTGCCCACGTGTAATAAAAAAAAGTAAAAACGTAGCCTATATTACTCAGATATAAAATACTTTTCTAATGGTGAATGAATTTTAAATCGGCAGAGTGGTTTTTGAGTTATTTTCTTTAAACTTTATCAGTGATTTAAAAAAAGCATTCAAAAGTACCACCACTACTGACATCTACTGATGAGAGGATATAACTGGGCATAATGAGAAAAAACACGACAGCGCCATCTATTGTCAAAAAGATAACATAACGGTGATTTCAAGTAACATTTTTGCCCAAAGATTTATTATAATTAGTTAATTACAAACGAGAATCGTCTCAAATTGTAATAAATATTTATTTTATATTGAAATAATATGAAAAGAGTAAATTTCACAATACCGACGAAAGTTTGTATCAAAAACAACCGATCTTCGTTACTTTTACGCTTATGTTATTAGTTTCAAGATATTGTGCAACAAATAATTCAATTTGTTACATTAATATACTGAATTTCGTTTTATACCAGTGATTTGAAAATTGCATTCACAACCACTACTACTGACATCTACCGAGGAGAGGACACAACTTAACAATTTCGTTATGAAATCCGACAGCGCCATCTATTTTCGTAAAATAGCACTACAGTGATTTCAAGCATCGAAAATTTTGGCCAAACAATTATTGTAATTAGTTAATTCTAAAGTATTCTCGTTTCAAATTACAATAAATACGTATTTTATATTGAAATAATATGAAAATATGAGTAAAACTCAGAATACCGACAAAAGTTTTTATTAAAAACAACCGACCGTCGTTAGTTTTACGCATATGTTATTAGTTTCAAGATAGCGTGCTACAAATAATTCCATTTTTTTAAATCACGTGATTATTGTTGTGAACAACACGCTTAAGTGAGTTTTTTTTTTATATAAACAATAACAAACTGAAGTAAAACTTTTACGTATTGTAAGAAAGAAATAATGAAGAAGAAATAATGTCGCTATAACAATACTCCTATTTTAGTTTAATAAAACGAAAAATACGCGACTAATTAAATAATTACTAAAACTTGTTATTAAAACATTGTTCAATTTGCAAACAATATAATTCAAGTTAATGTTAAGTAACCATTTTTCACAAATCTAAGTGTATTTCTAAATACCAATCTTTGTTGTATGTTATTCCAGGATCTGCTGGACAGAATATTCCGTCTATTCGATGTAGATGGCAAAGACCTCCTCGATCACGAAGATTGGATCGAACACCTTAAAGAAAGGCTTCCGTAAGTGTTTTGTATAAATGTAAGAAACCACGGAACCAATAACAATGTGAATAAACTGAAAGTCGTAGTAACAAACTGGTGAATTGTTTAGAAATCTAAAATCGTTGCAATAAATGGTTCGGCATGCAAAACTTTGTTGGTAAATTGTTCCTAAACCTGAATTTTATATTGTTCGTGTACAGGGACGAGAGGCAGCTGGAATTTGTGGAACAGGTGGAGAGCGTGGCGTACGCGCTGTGCGGCGACGGACCCGTCTGCTTACCTGCATTCACACGCATACTGCGCAACAAAGTGGTCTGTCAACTTTACTGGAACTGGCATAAGATGTACAATATTTCCATGCTCAGAAAAGCGTATTTGATATGAGCAATCTTAACCTAATACTGTCTATAATAGGTTTTATTTATAGGTAACCAAAAAGCTCTTCCGTGTAGTAGACACTGATGACGACGGTTACGTCTCTGCTGAGGACATTATGGAGTTTATTGCCTCCGTATCTAGCAGCAGGTTAGTTTAACTTAAACGTGATATAAAAAGAACAGATCCCCTGAGCGAAGTTTGAGCTAAGTTAGTTTTTTTACCACCAGACCACGCGTGGGCATCGACAAGCCGAGCGTGGACCGATTAGAGCAGTTGTTTCGTGACACTGCCGGCGACCAGAAGGAGATCACAAGAGACCAGTTCAAGAAGATTGTCGTCTCCAAAAATGTAAGATTTATTTACCACAAGCGAAAAACAATAAAACTCTTAAATCGGGTTTGGATAAATCTTTGATTACTTTTAGTGGTTTAATGACTGAAACAAAATTATCGAAGATATCGTAATGTTCATCGTTTATTTATAATAGTCCTATTATGTTTTCGCAGCCGTTCTTCACGGAGCGCGTGTTCCAAATCTTCGACGAGGATGATTCCGGCAGCATCTCTCACCACGAGTTCATCGCGGCCGTGCACCGCTTCGGCCGGCAGACTCCGGATGATAAAATCAAATTCTTGTTCAGAGTTTACGATTTGGATGGTGAGTTTAGATCTTCGATTATCTTACATGTAAATACCACCTGTTACCTTAAGACCCCTAAACCGTTCGTTTCACATATATGTAACATTTGACAGGCGACGGTTTGATCCAGCATCGCGAGCTGCAGCACGTGATGCGCGCCTGCATGGAGGAGAACGGCATGAGCTTCAGCGACGAGCAGCTGCTGCAGCTGACGGCCGCCATGTTCGAGGATGCGGACACCGAGCATCGCGGCGCAATCACCTACGAAGCGCTACGTGACCAGCTCAGCAAGCACGGCGGACTGCTCGAGAACTTATCCATTAGGTACCATAACCATAAAGAAATGTTTTTGCAATAACCAGAAGAACCAACACTTAATTCCATGTGTTTCAAATAATTAATTTCTCGCTGTCCGAGCATATGTGAATAGTAGACAATGCTATACTGTTCTACAAACAGACAGATTTCACGTACCAAAACGTTACACTATACAGTCGTCAAGTAATACCTTTTGTCTCCTTTGTCCAGTATAGATCGTTGGTTAGTCCCGCCTCCGCCAGACCCTCAGCCGACCTCCTGGCTGCGGCGATTGTACAGCATGAAGCCGCACCAGCTCTCGTGGCCGTACATAAAGAACAACCAAGTGTACCTCGGTTACCTTGCTCTGTTCTTCCTAGTCAACCTTGCTTTGTTCGCGGCGAGATGCGTTGAGTACAGAAACGCTAATGGATTTGTCATGTTCGCAAGAGCTTGTGGTAAGTAGATATTAGGCTTATTTTATTACTAGCTGTTCCCGTGCGGCTTAAAATTTTTACGGCGGAAATTACAATAATTTTATTTTATTGTTTACATTTGTCAAATGTCAAAATACAGATGCATAAATGACAACCTTGCTCCTTTGACGTTGGCAGCTTGTAGTTTATGGTCTCTTTCCCACATAGAGATTTTTTCAAATTTATTTACCCCCTAAGTTTAATAGCGTGGAAATATGTCTCCTAAAGCGTGCCGTCAGTGAAGGATTTTTAATTAAAGAAAGAATTATTCAAAAATATGCTGTAATTCCTGAGATTCTACACTACACAGTAGTGTGTGTTTACGCTTTATTACATTAGTATAGAAGTATGCATTATATTTTAAACCAGCCCTAAAGATGCTTATTCTAATTCCTGCCAGGTCAATGCCTAAACTTCAACTGCTCGTGGGTGCTGGTGCTGATGCTGCGGCGCTGCATCACGGCGCTGCGCGGGCGCGGGCTGGGCGCCGCTCTGCCGCTCGACCACCACGTCTACCTGCACAAGCTCACCGGAGTACTAATCGTTCTCTTCAGCATACTGCACACCATCATGCACTTGTGCAACTTTAGTAAGCTATTACTAATCTATCGACTACAACCGTCTTGACTATTAGGAATATTGCTAGAATGTCAAGATTAACAGTGGCAGAGCCCGCTTTAACATCTTCGCACTAATGGGTCGGCTCACCCGGAGTACCATGAACACACAGAAAACAGGCGTAAAGTAAAAGAAATTCCGCATTTCGTCTGATGAGTGTGCCGGAGTCCCAACTTTAGTCCCTTTTCGTTCCCCCCCTTTTTCTTATAAGAAAAGGATGGGAGGGGACGTGGATATGACGGTGCAGGAGACGCATAAGAAGGAGTAATATACTCTTTATGTGCGTTTCCTCCATCGATTAAGGTTAGGCAACGCATTCGCTATTGCGAATGTCTATGGGCAGCGGTCGCTTTGGCATTTTGGCGAATTCAAGTGGCCGCTAGCTTGTTTGCCACATTATGTTAAAATAAATCTCAATAATTAAATTCAAGTTGTGTGTTTGGTTATATTTATAGCATAAACATACAAAATACAGATTTATTTATCATGCTGTACTGTTTCTTTTCCAGGTCTGATAGTGGTGAACGACCCGGTGTTAAACGCAAACAACTACACAGTATGGGAGTGGGTGGGCACAACACGGCCGGGCTTGTTTGGCCTGGTTGGGGGAGTGGCGAACCCTACGGGTCTGGCGCTGGTGGTCGTGCTGGTGATTCTTGGCACCTGCAGCCGGCCTGCTGTTAGAAGAGGGGGGAGCTTTGAGGTGGGTAGACATTCTGCTGTTTCTATACTCCATGAAAGGGGGCTCAAAGTGTGGGCTATGATTACGAAGTAAAGAGTCTATCTCTAATTGGAAATTAGTTGTATAAGGTTTTTTGAAAACTGTATAGTTGTTGTTAGGATAGATTCAGATGTTGGTAAATGATTTGCAGGTATTCTACTGGACTCATTTGTTGTACATCCCCTTCTGGATCCTGGTGATATTCCACGCGCCCAACTTCTGGAAGTGGTTCATTCTGCCAGGCACTATATACATCATTGAACGTATCATGCGATTGGCTTGGATGAGGTAATTTTGTTACTGTATCGCAGAATAAATTATTTTTTATGCTCATATCAAAATATATTTAAGTAAAGGACCTTGTGCACCGACTACATAAGATACTACTAAAAAGGTGATGGAAATAACAGCTCAGCTAATATTACCCACCATTGTATTTAGCTTGTCAACTTTGACCGATAGTTCTCTAAACTTACGGCTATCTGTTTGCTAATACAACATATTTTTTACAGATCAGAGATAGGCAAGTCGTACATTTCCTCCGGTATCCTGCTGCCGTCTCGTGTGACGCACTTGGTCATCCGTCGGCCGCCATTATTCGACTTCCATGCTGGTGACTACGTGTTCGTGAACGTGCCCGCCATCGCGCGCTACGAGTGGCATCCATTTACCATCAGCAGTGCACCGGAACAAGCTGGTAAATATCATAAATAATACAAGAACAATAAAGATAAGGATACTCCCAGCTATTAGTTTTTAATATTTATGTGCGTCATCGAAATCGAAGGAAAAAATTCAACCTTTCTTTTTTTACGTACTTACATTGTTAATTTGTAATTTTCTTCACTTATTATATATACTAATATTATAAAGAGGAAGTATTTGTAGTTTTATATTGAAATAACTCAAAAACTACTGGGATGCTTTCTAAAATTCTAGCACCATTGAAAAGCTACTTTATCACTGAGTAACATAGGCTATATTTTTACTATCGTTTTTTTTAATTTGACGCGGACGAAGTCCCAAGTATCATTAATATAATTAACACGAAAGTTTAGATATATGAATTTGTATAGATATAGTATTGTTGCGTGCTTTATATGGTATTTGTGGCAGACCACGTGTGGCTGCACGTGCGCGGCGTGGGCCAGTGGACCAACCGGCTGCATGAGTACTTCGAGCGCGAGCACCGCCGTTTGCACGCCGACGATGCGACCGACGCGACAGACGCGGCCCCACACGATACGCATTGGTACGTACAGTAACCTATTTTGTAACCATAGAAAAATGTTATTGGCTTCATTGCTGTGAAGAACATTTTTCATTTCGTGTATTCTCCAATCAATACAGGACTTTTTGAAATATTCTCGCTTGGTGTTTTAGCCATTGTTCAACAGATGGCGCTTTGTCGAGAAACTTTTGAAAATAGATCTCGATGATAATGTTAATATTCGCTTCATCAATTGGAAACCGCTTTGGTAATTATCGTTATTGTTGTTTTGTTGTGTTCAGTTTTCTGTCTTTTCTTTTATGTTTTTGGTCGTTTTCTTTGTTTTTGTCTATAATCTATTGCTATTAGTTTTGTTTATAGTTGGTTAAGTATGACGTTGTTCCAGTCCCTAAGTCCCTATCATATGAGGCATTAATATAAAATAAATAGACATCTTAATTTTTAATATCTTGCATTTTTATTTTTATCAGTAAAGTGAGTCGCACAATGTCGGGGCAGAGCGCCCGGAGCGGCCGGAGCGCACGGCGGGGCTCCGCGGGAGGGCGCTCCGGTCGTAGCAAGCTCTCTGTCGATTTCTCACCCAACTCGTACACTAACGACGCTTTCTGTATCGACGAGGAGCCAGAAGAAACTCATAAAGGTGAGACATAAGAAAGAGAACTATCGATTACCGTGTCTGTGATAACGTTTGTGTTACTAGATGCGGCCGCAATGGCGCTACCGTCGCGCGCGGTGGCGCTGCTGTCGCCGCTGCGGCTGCTGGAGAAGTCGCGCTCCATGCCTGACATGCAGAGCGTCGCTAGACATGGGTATCGTCGATATTATCTTTCTTGTACAATTAACTTGGGTGATAAAAACAATAGTAAAATATTGGAATACATTAAGAAGAGACTTCTATAAATAGAAAGGCTATTTTGTGCCCATTTGATTATCGCCATCTTGGTGCTAATAGTCGCTGTTTGTGGCGATTGCGAGAATAAACTAATAATAGAGAGAATAAAATTTTCAGTAGCGGCATTAGGGTAGTACGATCTGGGACGGACGCCCAGAGTACTGGACAGAAAGGGGCCCATGAGCGTACCTTTATGATATATATTGGTGTTTAATTGGTTAAAAATCAAAGCTCTTTTGTATATCATAGTCAGTAAAAAATGAAATACCATTAAAAAAAGTTTAGAACTATTGCTTAGTGATTGTACTGTTACTTTTGGTCGTGATCTTTAATCAAATAGGAGATTGAATTAGCAATTTCTCAACTATGCAGTGGTCGCGATTACACGCGCTCGGAGTCCGAGCTAGGTCTGTCATGCGGGGAGGTGCGGCGCGCGCGGCTCGCCTCGCTGGCGCGCTCGCCGCGACACCGCGCGTTGGCGCATAGCTTCCGCTACATGCGTACAAAGCCGCCCATCGTCGCGCTGCACACGCCCAGCGTCGACAACGAGAGGAGACGATCTAACGATAGCATTCTCACTATTGGTATGTAGTTTTTGTTAGTTTGTTATTGTAACGTACTTAGCTTACTCAAACCACTGCTTCCCGCCAGAATGGCGCGCTATCCTAATACGTCTGTATGACATTGACAGCTGTCATAGTGACGGGACGTCTATGCAGTTGCTCCAGTGTTGCCCGATTTTCTTAACATTTTATAGTAGTAGTAAAAGTCAGGTAAATAACAGATGATTGAGGAACTAACTTCGATTGAGTTCATGTTGAACTGGTGAACCGATTTCATTTTAAACAAATAGTTATAGAAAACACAACAGTTTTCCTTCGTTGCAATTACCCGTATTGAATGGGAATTAAATCTACTTAAAATGGTAATACCTATGTCTTGATTTACAGCAAGAAGACGTCTATCTAAGAGTCTATCCCCTGATAAAGATACGGAAGCACAAAATGATACGAAAGTGAACACAGCTCCCGACCCTGACATTGCTAACAATGTTACCGATGACGATTATCCTGTTGGAAAACCGTTAGAGGTGAGAAATAACTTCACGTCGTTCAATTGGCCGTTATTCTCAAGTTATTTTCGTCTAAGGTAACATCGTCACTTTTAGATTTACCTGGAAGGTCCGTACGGCGCGGCGTCATCGCACATCTTCCGCGCGGAGCACGCGGTACTGATAGCGGCGGGAATCGGCGTCACGCCCTTCGCCTCCATCCTGCAGAGCATCATGCTGCGCCACCGCGCCGCGCGCGCCCTCTGCCCGCGCTGCGGACACACCTGGCACAACGACGTGCCACACTCCAACATGACGCTCAAGAAGGTAAAACTAATAGGAAGACAGATTAAGAAATATTGACTACGCATAAAAACAAAACTATCTGGTAATTTCTCCGACAAGTAATTCCAGTTGCCAACTTTAGTACTCCTCGTGTCCTTGTATTGACATTTAAATGTTATTCAATTGACACTTATTGACAATTAATTTATATATACCTAGCTTTCGCCCATGACTCTGTCTGCGTGGAATAGTACAAAAGTAAGTTGCCTATGAGTTCTTCCAGACTATCAACTACATCTATACCAAATTTCGTTGAAATCCGTCCAGCCGCTTAGGCTACAAACTAACAAACATCCATCCATACATAATATGTATGAAGTGTCAACTATGCTTACTATTTTTTTTATTCTTAGGTTGATTTCTTCTGGATCAACCGTGAGCAGCGATCGTTCGAGTGGTTCGTGTGGCTGCTGTCCCAGCTGGAGATGGAGCAGGCGGAGAGCGCGGGCGAGGGGGAGGAGGGGCAGCGTCTCCTGGACATGCACCTCTACATCACCAGCGCGCTGCAGCGACACGACATGCGCGCGGTCGGGCTGCAGTTAGCTCTTGATCTGCTCCACGAAAAGGTACACATCTATATAAGATTAAAATAACGTTTTCTTGGAATGGTTTGTAATTTTTTCTTAAATGTGCTTCCCTATGCCACCCTCTTTTTCTTGTTCATAGGTCAGGGATGTTGGGTGCGGGTAGGAATTCTATTGTTAACAGACAATTTACAATTTGGTGGGACTGGCCTTAAATTTACTAAACTTACGATTACTAAAATACATAAAAACATTTTTTGTTGTCATTTGCTAATATGTTTTCTAAAATTGTTTTTAGGAAAAGCGTGATTTGATCACTGGCTTGAAGAGTAGAACCAGTGCTGGCAGACCCAACTGGGATAAGGTATTCCAAAGGTTGAACGAGCGGCGTGCGGGCAAAGTCACAGTGTTCTACTGCGGGCCGCCGCGGCTGGCGCGCACGCTTCGCCTTAAGTGTGATCAGTTCGGATTTCACTTCCGTAAGGAGGTGTTTTAGGTTTGGTAAGAACAGTCTTCACCTTAATTGCTAGCGCATATTTCGCGTGTTCTAGAACCTTCTACTTTTTGATAGACCAATTATGAAAGAGAATCTTTTACTTCTGTATAAATAACATATTTTTTAAAGTGTATATGTTGATACAAGTAGTGGTAATTGTTGGTAGTTTTTTTTTTGTTAATGTTGCCATTTTGAAATATATTGTTTGAACATTTCGTATGATATAAAAATTTCCCTTTTGCTTCTGTAATTACGGTAAAAATATTGTACAATTTAATTTTGTAATTGAAAATTAATTGTTACAATTGCTCCTGTGGTCTCTTGCAAATGTTTTGATGTGTTAATTGTTAGTGTTGATTTTATATTTTAGATCAATTGTTGTTTTGTATAAATGTTTATTTCGTTACTTTAATTATCTTTATGTAAAGATTGGAAACTTAGTTAAGTTTGATTATTAGCCTAATAAGGAAACTAAACAATAAACTCTTGATTTTAAGAAAATTCATTTGACTTAATTCTTTCTGTTGATTTTTCTTTTTAATTATGACATTTATTGAATTGATATATCCTTTTTTTTACTTTTTTTTACTTGTGTAATTTTCGTAAAATGAAGAAGTAATTTGTAGTATGCAACGCGCATACAATAACATGCAAACTAAATGAAGCGGCGCCAATTATGTCATTCCATACAAACAATGCTTTTTACTTTGTGTCTCAAGTTTACTTAATAAAGTAAACTTTATGTACACTGTAAGCTGCGATATCACTTGTCTCATGTTATTGTGCACGGCTAGTATTGAATTTCGATTATTATAATCGTCAAATTCTTCAATTTGGAAATAAATATCTTTTCATTATTGTTAACAATTTTTTTCTTTAGCGCCAAATTCCTGGAAGTGACGTTTTTATTTCACGTGCTTGCTTTTTGTCTAGTTCAATTATTCCTTTCTACTATCTGTTTTCTATTCTGACGAATTAAATTTTATTTTGTTTAAAAAATGACTTAATCCAACGATAAATTTTATAGAAATAATATATAGAGATGCTATTTTTTTTATTAAAAGCGATACCTAAAGTTTTCATACTAAATTATTTATCGTTAATTATATTAAAAAAATGGCTCAAAAATAACAAATGTACAACATATTTAAGATAATGTCTAAATTGTGATGGGATTTGAAATGTTTTATGAAATTGTTACAAAAGCATAGTATACTTTATATTTTAAGAAGTTACCAGTGATCATTAGTTTTTTAAACTTTTATTGTCTACATATTTTAAATAACATAGATAAACTTTTTTGACATGGCGGACAAAATGTTAGCTAGGAAATTGTAATTTGTTATAACTTTGTTTGTGAATATTTTCCAAAATCGCGTCTATTTAAAATAAAGAATGCAAATAAAGAAGCATTTGAAGGTGTTTTATTTATTACTAGCTGTTGCTCGCGACTTCTTCCACCTAGTATAAAAAGTAGTAAAAAAACATAGCCTGTGTTACAGATAACGTACCTTTTCTATGATGGTTGAATTTCAAATCGGCAAAGTAGTTTTTGAGTTATTTCAAAACTAACAAAAATACAAATCTTTCATCTTTAAAATAGTATGGAAAATACAACATATAATGCATGAAGTGAAATAATAGTAATAGCAATGAGCAAGACCGAGTCATAACTTTCATAAAAAAATGAATTTCACGAAGTGTAAATAAAAAAAGTAAAAAGCCTATGTGTTCTTCCAGACTAAGCTCTATATCTATTGCAAATTTAGGCTACAAATTCTAAATAAAATCCATTCATGTAAACTTACGCATTTATAATATTAGTAAGATAAGATATTCAAAGATGTGTGAGTACAAAATCATACGTCATCGTACATATTCATGTGTGTAAAATAATTTGCGGAAATATTGCGAGCGACCTTGCGTCAAGGTGAGGGCTTGAAGGTCCCCGCGACCTTAACCGAGGCCAAGTTCGCAAGACCTTGTTATAAAGGACGGGACCTTGGAACGAGGACATGGCCGTGAATGAGGTTATGGCAAAACTCATCAGGGTCGATTTTATTTGTGAAGTTTGATTGAAATTTCCTTGCAAAATACTTAGTTTTTTATATTTTACTCTTTGGATTCGATTCTTAATATAACTTTAATATCTATAAAATAAATTTTATTGAAAAAATAATTAACAGAAATTCGCAATATAATTAACCGCCATCTATTGTTTATTGAGGTACTATTTGAAATAATGCAGTTTTAAATGTTTGATCAATAGATGGCGTTAAAATGCTTATGAACCAACGTACTCAAATATTTTCGTTTTTGTTTAATTATATTTTGTACCTTACTTCGGCTGCAGTGAATCATTACTAGTTTTGTAAAACTACCTTCATTGCCTTTTGTTTATTTTAATTCATAACTTTGCAATTTTGTAACAAATTTGCAATATGCTTGAAGTTTTAATTTGAAAAGGGCGTATAAAGGAAACAAAGTTTATGTAAAAATATTTTATTTAAAAATCAGTCTCTGAATTAGTCCCAAACATACTAAAATGTAAATCTCGAACCAACGGTTATATACAAAGCATATACAATAATATACATAATATAAGGGTTTAAAACATATGAGTAAAACAACATCGAGTGCTTCAACCCGCCAATTTATTTGAGATCTATGAAAATACAAAGCGAAGAAAACTACAAACTACTATAATAAAAGTTAAAAATTTGTTACATAATCTGTAAACACGAGAAAAGCCTGCTACATACTCTTAATTCTGACAGTTAACTGAACAGTCGAACTCATCAGTTAAAACTACGTGTTTAGGCGAAATTTTAACTATTAGTTTAACTGTACAGTTATAGTATTGTCTACGCTGAACTAAGCGTATGTGCTTTATTATGAAAATTGAAACATGTTGATAAAATTACAACTTCAAGCAGGAAAACTGGGGTAGACGGGTAATTAACGCGTTAAAAACAATTTCTGATACACATTACAATAAATTTTATATTAAAAAGGAAGTAAAAACCTAATAGTACGAACATAAGTGACAATTTACAATAATTTTCAAGTCCACCTTTACGTGGACCAAACATCTCTACGTGGTAATTAATGGGGGTAGAATCGAAACACACGTGTCAATAGTTGAAATGTCAACAAAACACACATCAAGAAAATTACAATAAATCATACATAGTGACTAAGAAACTAAATTCGAAAACGCCAGTAACTGACAAAGACGATAAAATACGTAAAAAACAACTTACAAACTATTATACTAATCAAAACATAAAAACAAACTACTATATTACTAGTATATTTAAATGAATAATATAAAAACAAAATTAGTAACATCCTTTTTCCAAACCAACACTTCATTAGAAACATGTTTCTAATCAAATGTTTATTCGGACAAAAATCACGCATTACTCATTTTGTTTCTACACGACTTATACAATTTTAAATAGACTAATGAAGTGTCAAAGAATTAATAGATTTCAGTGTTTGTGAGTGAGTAACAATAATTCTAAGAAACAATCAAGAGTTCTGAGAAACTATCATGTTATTATACGTTAAACATATTTGTATCATAGTAACAAACATTCAGAACAAAATTAATCAATCATTTTAATTATCAATGTTTTGAAATACTAATAACATAAAAGGGATGAAGAGTTGAGAATCTAACAAAACTTAATTACAGTACATTCTTATTTCATTTGCTTTAATATGAAACGGAATAAATTTCTTGATACAACATACTCGGTGTGTGTTTAAAGATATGATATTAGTTTACGTAATAAACCAAGTAAAAAGACAATTTTTAAATTGACATGAAAACTTAAATCTAACCTCTAAAACTAAGAGATGAAAGTGCTAAAGTTAAAAAAAGTTGCATTTCCAAACAGATGGAAATTAGAAACATGTTTCTAACGTAATATTTCTTTGTATAAATATGAATGTTACTAATTTTGCTTACAGATAAAAAAACATGTTTACATATTGTATTTATGTATTGTCTAGTTATAAATATTTTTATATTGTAGTTTTAACAAGAAATCTGGCACCTTTTAGGGATTTTACAGTTAACTGTAAAATTGTCAATTATAAATGTTTAATGGTATTGTTACAATTTCACAAGCAAATATTCTAGAGACCAAGATAGTGACTTATTACGTACGGTAAGAATCTAAATACAATTTAGGATATAGTTGTAATGGTACAATGAGTTAAATATAAGCTTAAAGTGCTATATTACAACAGGAAACTTGATACATAGTAACAGTACAATATTTATTTATGACATAAAAAAATTTAAGCAATACCTTTGTGATACATTCTCATGACTCGTCGTACTGACCTCATAAAATATAATAATGCACAGACAAACTTTAAAATATCCTAAACATATTGTTTTGACTGTAAAAAGTAACAGAGGTAAATAAAAATAGGACGAACAGTCAATTACATAGTTTCTTATTTATATTGTTTTACTTAATTGTTTAACTGCTTTCGTAAAGTTTAACTTCTATTGGTCACTTATTGTTCACATTTATACTTTTTCAATTGTAACGAATCTTACAAACATATGCGCTGTGTCTTCTGGCTAGTACGTGGTTAAGGCGAGAGTTACATCTATAGTAAAAAAAACTTATCTCCCCGGTGATTGTGGTTATTCTGTCGCTTTTATCACGGTCAGTTAAAAAACCTACTTCGCATACTACTAGTACATTGATGGCTCCTATGTAAATCACATGTTTGAAACGAAACCTTAGCACGATTAATTACGACACATCAAACACTAACATTATACAACTAAAATCTACAGTTTAGTTCCTTTCTAACATTATTTTAAAATTTTTAGACATTAGTGTTCATCAAGTGAAATTAAAAAATATAAAACAAGGTGTAAATCTCAAAACTGTGGCTTACAATACTCTACATAAGAGCCATTGCAACGGAATGAGTCACAGTCGGACTAGCATCTTGGCAATTTTGACATTGTTATTTTAGTTGAATAATCACCGGGTCAGACAAGTTGGTTCTATTATTCTAAATCTATTATTAATCTATCGCAAAGTGACTGTCAATCTGCTAGCCGCGACCATTTTGTTGTGGAACTTCTTTTTAAAACTGTCAGCAGCAGCGGAAGTTTTGAATGTTATCTTCGCGCGACGCTCTTCTTTTTCCAATATTATATTCTGCAACATCAATCCGTGCGTTTGGGTTTCACTTTTACTATTTTATTATAATTAAACTTAAGACTAGTTTACAATTACTATTAATAGTATTGATTGTGGAATATGTTATGGACAATGTGGAAAATATGACATCAAACAATATGTATAGTGTGTAACATTATAACATTGTTTAAAATTTCGTCTTTGTAAAAATATGAAGATAATCTTTAAAATACAATCACCCAAAAACCTGGGAACAATAGTGAGTATAAATGCTGTAAATTCTAAATAATTTCGTTCATTAAAATTATGTTTCTTTGTGTACGATCCATTATAAAATTGTTTTCAATCATTAAAACATCATTATAATATTGTTTCCATTAAATCTTTGATAACAAAATTTTATTATTTTCACCAAGTAAGTGTTTTATCCAAAAATATATATGAATAATAGTGTTGAATATCAGATATAAATAACATATACGTTTTATATACATGTGGAATATTTATACATAATGTGCATAACAATGCAGAGCACAGTATTTTCACAAGAGTTTATAGTAGTTTATCATAATAAATATATATGCCATCGAAATAAACGAGCATAATTACAATTTGTATGAAAATAAATAGAACCAAGATACATTTGGTTGACATTTGTTTTCAGTCAACATTTTTCATACAATTCATTTTTTTTAACAATGTTTCAAAATATCAACATGTAGTTATTTACCCAAAGATGTATAACGAGTAAATACGTATTTTTTTTACCCAATTATTTCCAGCTAAACATGCATTATAACTAGAATTAATAGAAAACTTACATCTAAAACATACAAAAATATCA